TTCTCTTAAATGAAATCCAAACGATGTTCTCACAACTTGCAAAGCGATCAGCAAGGTTCTTGGCAGCGGATTTGTGTACTGATCATGCGCATTACGTCAAAAACCATAAATCAACGGTCTTGAGAAGAAACAAAAGCATGGTGGTCGAAGGTGGGACTGTTTCCCACAGGGGGGAAGAGACGAGGTCTGGGACCGAGAAACGATGTTCTCACAACTTGCAAAGCGGTCACCCTGCGTGGTGGTCAGCGGATAATTGCACTTTTTCCCACAGTAAATCACAGTAAATATTTTTAGACTTTTTAGGAGCAAGAAGCGAACAGGCAGAGGAAATCAGAAATGCTTAAAAAATTGAAAAAAATAATATCATGCATCTTTGTTTTTCTTGCATATCGTATTTGTCTTTCGGTACTGAAATTGCGGGGGAAACTAAAACGCAGCCGTGTTTAATACATCTTAACCAACAATACGCTCGATCGATTTATAGGTTACATTGTTTTCGCAGGGCAATGATAACTTGATGCTGATAAAAATTACTGGAGAAAGTGTCAAATTTATCGGAAGCAAGTATATTCAGGCAGCTTTATAAATATGAGCTTACAGCTCTACATATCATAACTGAATAAACATCCACACTTCATAACATTTCACTTCGTTTATTACGATCAGTCAACACCTTGAATCCAACGTTAAAATTCAAAACGATCGTAATAAAAAAATCACAACTACTACTGAAAGCTCTGTACCTTGAAGCGACTTTAACTTTCCTAAGGTTTGCAGCAAAACACTGCTCGATAGCTCAACTCTTGGGCCATTCTTATCAGCTATACGGAGCTATGTTGCATATTCCAAACTCTGCGGAGGGAAATTGTTTAAAAGAAAAAGAAAACCACACACTATGTCTGAAAAGCGGCGTAAAATCAAAAAAAATTGCGAATTACCAAAATATAATAGTGGGAAACCAGGGTGCCAGTCAATTCGATGTGTCGTCTGTAAACGGTGCTCAGCAATGTGCCGTTGTTGACGTCACCATTCCTCGTCGCCCGTTTGTGTTCGATCAGTCGCCTGCTTAGGTTTTCTGCCTGTTTCACCAATGTAAGAAGCCTGGCAGTCGCAGCATTTGATCTTGTATACTGCTCCCTGCTGTCTTTCCTCCGCTTTGTCTTTGTCCTTGACATTAGTAAGCAGTCACCGTAAAGTGGTTATGGGTTTGTGTGCAACACGTATATTGTAAAGGTTGTAATATACGTGCAATAGTTTCAGAGGTACGGAGCCAGAGTTCAGGGGCACCCAACGGCAATTTTCGGGAAAATATCTGTTCGGAAGACGATTTGAGATCTAGAATTTTCGGAGCATTTGTTGTAAAATTTCTTGCTTGCCTGCCTCTACTAGGATTTTCGAACATCTACACAATGGTATAATTACCCATTTTTAACGGATTTTGACCCTAAAAAAAGGCCAACTAGAATTTTCGAGAGCCCTTTCCTGGCTAAAATTTTCGAGAAGGTAAGTTTTTATCCCTATAATTTTCGTATCACTAGACTTTCAGCTAGGAAATCCGAACAGATGAAAAGTTTTTAGGGGATAAAAATATGCCTATATCTACCGTTTGAATACTAAAATACGTTCAACAATGCTATGTTAAGTGGTTTTGAACTATATCCTCGTTGGGTGCCCCTGAGAGTTGGTCTGAGTGTTGGGATCAGTGTTACTGTGAGTGTTCCGTCTAACAAAGTCCATGTTGTAATCAAAAATAGGGTGACGTAGCCCCTTTAACCTATAACAACTAATCATTGTGAGAATTAAAACAAGCTGAATGCAAGGCGGACAATACGGCAAAGGGCTGATTTATTTGTGCTACCATCAAATCTGTTTTTAAAGCGTTCAAAGCTTGCTAAATCTGTCGCGATTCAAAGCTTGCTAAATCTGTCGCGATCCACGACAACTTTAATAAAAAAGTGTTATCTTTAACCAAGAGCCAAAGGTATGCTCCATTTACAGGGGCGGATCTAGGGGCAGGGTTAGGCTTTGATAGATTGATGCTAGCATAATTTTAAGCATAATTCAGCAAAACGAGCATTATTTTAAGCTTTTATTTCAGTTTAGCACTGCTAGCATAATCCGAGCTTTTATACGTTGAAAACAAAAAAAACCATCATAGCTCTAGAATAATTCAGTTTGTATTTTATTTCTGTATTGTTTTGGAAAATATTGAGGTCTGTGTTAAGGCCCATGGTCAAATATGAGGGTCTGAATGGGGTTAACCGATAGGCGTAAAACGGCCAAAAATTTAGTCGATAGCCGTAAAAATTGAAAAATTTTGACTGTTAGCCGTAAATAGGGTAAGAAAGAGTTAACCGTAAAAGAAATTCTTCCCTAGATTTGTTAGTTTTAAGGAAGGTGCTAAACTCTCTTATGATTGCTTTTTTATTTCCTGGCTACTTTGATTGCGTACGCACGTTAGGCCAAGCGCCTAGCTTTCAGGTGTTGACCGAGACCTAGGCTCCATTTCCGCCGCCGCTCTCTCGGGCAACTAATTTTTTCCATAGCGAAAATCTGGCTTGCTGGGGATTAATATTTTAGATTTTCAGGAGGTCGTGCCCTCGAAATACTAGCAACACGCAGAGATGTCACTGTTTGTAAAACACGTCGCCGATTAAACAACAATTCCATCTAACAATTCCCTGTTTTTCTCTGACGCTACGGCGTCTTCTCACGCAGTCTCAGTCAAGGCATTTCGGTGGCGTATCTGAGAAAAAAACTCGCTCGGACAACGTGACCCGAAACGCATCAGCCGCGCGGAATAATGAGGCCTACAGACAAGGCAACGGCAGAGAGTCGTTCTGTACAGTCCTCCCCTATCATTAAAAGCACTGGACACGGGAATTGTTTTACATTGGCCGTTTTCACACTAGAGCTAGAAATGGATTATCCATCTGAGACTAGCCTGTGTACAGTCACTCCCTCCCCCATATATACACTCCTTCTCCCTTCCTCCTTCTGAGGGGAGGGGGCGTCTGTACACAGGCTATCTGAAATAGATAATCCATCCTCAAGTAAATTGTCCCTCAAAACTGACGGAGAGAGCCAGGCGGATTGTTCTCATTCAAAATTAAAATAATTGATTCTATTTTCAAATTAAGACGTATTACCTATCTAACGCGGATTATCAAACGGATGACCCGTCTCACCCAAATAATCCGCCTCTAGGGTGAAAACGGCCATTTCTGTTATAAGACCCCTCATAAATGCAGGTGCACGTGGCGGCCCTGGCCTTGAGTTGGGCGTTTGCCTGTCTACTTTTGCTTTTTCACAAAGATTATTTTTAAATTGACTATTGACATTTGTATGCGTAAAATAATATTAGAAGTGGAATACTTTATAAAAAGTATGATCTGTCAAATGTTAAAATTTTTCAAAAGAGTGGTTTATTTCATTCCGAGATGATCCTAAGACCTTTATTTTGCTTAAAAGATACAAAAAATACACGTTTATTAACATTTAACTCCTTGAAACAAAAGAAATTAATTTTTAACTTTGTTGTTAACCGTAACTGAAAACAATTAACCGATAGCCGTAAAAGAGCCAAAATTTTAGCCGATAATCGTAAAAGCTACCACCCCATTGAGACCCTCAAATATGGTCTGGAAGGCGGCAGAGGTCGCCGTGTGCATAAAACTGAGACTCAGGCCACCACGCTTATGGCTCGGCCGCTCGGCCCTTCAGATGGCGTCGTCCTCGAGTACATCCACTTCCACCACTTCCAGTGCCGTGCCGAGAGCTTTAATCTCTAGAGAACGTGTTCCTAAAAGTAATACCGGAAACTACAAGGAAAGAGGTAACTCAGATCCAAAGAACATGAGTCCTCGTGATCGAATCGAAGAATTCCCAGGGGAAAATTTGTGTCCTCGAGGTGGAAAACTGTTTTGCCATGGGTGTAAGGAGATATTGAGCTCTAAAAAGAGCATTCTCAAAAACCACTTGGCTTCCAAAAAACATGCCGCAGGCAAAGAGAGGTTAAAAGTGACAAAAAAACGAAATCAAATGCGCACATGCGCATTTGCCATGCTAAAGACTGTAAGACTTGAAGGTGGACTATATGAATGTTCATTAAAGTCAAAATTGATAGGGTTAAGCTACTGATGATCTTTATTTTCCTTAAAATCAATGTAAAATCTAAGTAGCATAATTTCGGTGACAGAGAGCATAATTTTCAGAAAGTAGCATAATTTTGGCATAATTTCTAAAAAATATTTTTTCGAGCACAATCTACCAAAGCCTAGGGAGGGTGCAGGGAGTGCCCCCCCCCCCCGAGATGACTTGCGGTTTTCTAATACAACTGGTATTCTGCAAAAAAAACTATGTGGTTTATTGGTGTTGAAGTAGAGCAAGAGACGAGTGTATCCCCTCCTAAAAAATATCCTGGATCCGCGCCTTATTTACTCTCATCTCCTAGTGAGAAGCGAACTTCCCGGAGCCTAAGCTTGGCTTTTAATTGGTCTTGGGTCGACCGCGAAATGTCTCGTCCTCTAGACACACGTTTGGCTTCACGGAAAACGTCAACTGTTTCCTTTTCTGAAGGTCTGGGTTCTGATCCAAAAGGTAGAACGTAGACTTAATACGGCCATTTCCTTAATTGAGCGTCATAAATTCCTGAGATGGGAGAATGCGTTTTGGTTAGACGAGTTAATAGCGGAGCTCTTCAAATTCCCTTGAATTACTTGTTAGTCTTATTTCAGCACTGGGCTCTTCTGTGCGGATTCTTGCTATTTTTTCCCCCAAACAGAGAGCCTGTTCACAGGCTGGCGGTCCTTGCTTAAATCGAACTAATCTCGTACCCAGATCTCACTCTGTTTTACATTTAGATCTGGGTACGAGATTAAAGTCGAACTACTTCTCTAGGGAGGTGATGGGCACCTTTGTGATTCTCTCGGTTTCCACGGCCGGTCGGGGCGGAAGGGTTGTGTATCTCGGTGTCAAAGTGGTCGATTTTTCGCCTTGTAAGATGTCTCTCTTGGCGATTAAGTACCACCGTGGATATCTGGAGATATTAAACCAACTTCTCCTTCCTCATGAGTCGGTGTACGAGGAGATTTCCTGCGTTGAGGACGGTTGGCAAGCAATTCGATCGATGAAGGTGAGATTTTTCCGGGGGGCAAGTTTCTGTGAAGGACTTGTTTTTCTTTGCTCTTTTGGTCTGGCAAAAAAGGCTTTTTAAATCATCTTTTTGTGCGTGAATAGTGCAGGTTCTCGTTAGCTTTAGTGAACTTAAAAGAAGAAAAAAGAAGAACGTGTTTGGTTTTGAATAAGGTAAATAAAAACGGGACGTAAACTGTGAGGGTAATAGCCATGCCTTTGATACACTGTAAATGTTCCCCCCGGTCTCCCCCTCTTAACACGCAACAGCTTTGGCTCAAAAGATAAACGCCGTGTTCTTGAAAATAGTTAAGTTTATAGCGGAGTTAATTACTAAATCAAAGCTTCGTATTACTGCCAGAAATGGTGTGGATATAGGAATTATTACTATTTCCACACCATGGATTTTTTTTAGATTATTGCGTTAAACCTGTAGAATAAAATGCTTATTCATCTTGCTTTAGTGAATGGCTATGTACAAACTTTTGTCTACGTGTCCCATTTTTGTCTGACGTCTGCATCTCCAAGGTGCGTTTTGAAACGTTTTTAACGTTTTGGGTACGTTCCTAAATAAAAATTAATATGCCATCTCAGTTTTCAATTCAGGCAATTAAGGACAGAACCTGCAATTGTCTTCTATCTTGCAAGGGGCTAAAAGTCTATTTATGAACTGCTTTTAAACCAGGATCTTCATGTAATAAGTACTGTATGTATGCTAACCAAGTGAATGCAAAAAAAGACAAATTTTGTGCTGCATGTGCAAAGAGAGGGATTGCTAGTGAACTTGTACAATTCAGTGTCAGCTTCAAGGAAACTGTTTTCCTTTGTGTCCAGCGGGATTGTTTTTTCCCATTTGGTCATGTAGACGTTTCCTGCTTCTGTGAGAGGAAGAAATGTAAAGAAAGGGCATTATTTTCTGATAAGGCAAATTTTGCAGAACAAATTTGTTTCTCCTCAGGAGGTCATGAAAAATATTTCAACACTCATGGTACTTCCTTGGAGCAATGACTCATCCACCTAAAAAATGAAAAGTTTCGGCTCCTTGAGAAAGTGGACAGAAAGTCTTCTGGATTTATTCCAATTCGTAGGGATAAATGGTTTTTCAGTTGCAGAAGGTCAAGAGTGACGTTTTTTAAACCATACATCTCAGCAAAAAGACAGTTGTGCAGTTCTTCCTCATTAGCAATTGAAAGCAATATTGATCATTCAAGTACATGTATGCAGGAAGCACAGGATCTGTCTCAGTGTAACAAAGAACTTACTAGAGATGAAGAGCAGTTTCTTATTGATGTTGTCTTCAAATGAATGAAGTGCTATATGACAGTGTAATAATTGTACAATGTATTTCTGCGTGTCTCACGGGGTAACCTGAGTTATATTGTACACAAATGTAGCTAAGGATAATTATGTTACATGTTAACCACACAGCTACAGTTTGTTTGTGATCTTTGTGAAATTTTATTCTCATTAAAGACGCACTTTTTCTCACAATATTTTTTTCTATTACTTGCTGAGTATGAGCTAGAGAAACAACATTTCTCCAATTGAACTTTCTCCAATCTCCAATAATTGAACTTTCCAGTAATTTTATTTAAATGGATTGCGTCGATACAGTGTAGCTGTCATAGAGAGGTGGTCATTATTAGAGGTTGGAGTGTACACACATAGTTGATTCAATGAAGGTTGCTTTGGACAAAAAATGCCCCATTGTCAAAGGAAAGCAAGTTTTTTTTAATTAGCTATATACAGAGTGTTAGGGTGTTAAATCAAATGGTGACGAGTCAACTTATTCCCTAATTTCATGAGCATACCGTTTTGATTACAATGCACCTATTTAATAATATAGTTATAATTATATTGGTGACAATTACACTTACAATTGTAGTTTTTTGACACGTTTATCACTTCAATTATCAATCGAGAACTCCCCACGCTGAAAAGTGCAGAGCTTGAATTCTGGCTTTAGTTCAGAATTTTTCGACAAAATCACCTGCTCGAATCCTTCTTGATGTGCTTTTGGTGTGTTTAGGAAAGCAAGCTTTTTTGAATTAGGTATATACAGATTGTTAGTATGTTTAATCAAATGGTGACGAGTCAAATTATTCCCTAATTTGATGAGCATACCATTTTGATTACAATGTACCTATTTAATAATATGGCTATAATGGTATTGGTGACAATAACGCTCACAATTGTAGTTTTTTGACATGTTTACCACATCGATTGTCAATCGAGAACTCCCCACACTGAAAAGTGCAGAGCGTGAATTCTGGCTTTGGTTCAGAATTTTCAGAATTGTTCGACAAAATCACATGAAAGAATCCTTCTTGAATAATGTGCTTTTGGTGTGTTATGGTTTTCTGAAGTGTCTTTTAATGTCCTGATATCTTTATTCTTAACATTTTTAAACTTTGGTGCCATCTTGGCACTGAGACTTATGGAATGTTGCCATAGCAATTTTGTATTTTTGCTTGTGAAATCATAAGTTACCGGTATGTACACTGTAACTCTGAAATTTCATGCAAAATCAAGGACTGCCATGATATCATTATGTTTATTTCAGGTTCGTGGTGCCCCTGCTATTGCTATAGTTGGTGCCTTGAGTTTGGTTGTGGAACTGCTCCAGCAGTCATTCAGTTCAGTGGAAGAGTTGCTAAAGTTTATAACAGAGAAGCTTGACTACCTTACTACAGCAAGACCAACAGCTGTAAATATATCAGAGACTGCAAAAGATCTAGTGTCTTTTGTTACATATTTATCGTCAGTTAAAAGTGACCCTGAGGATATCAAGATAAAAGTCATCGAGGAAATTGAAGGAATGCTGGCAAAAGATGTGAGCGATAATCAGTCTGTTGGCAGGCACGGGGCAGATCATATGGTACAGCTGACAAGCTCCGAAAAGTTGAAAGTACTCACTCATTGTAACACTGGCTCTTTAGCAACAGCTGGCTATGGAACTGCTCTGGGAGTCATCAGAAAGCTATATGAACAAGAGAGGATTGAACATGTCTTCTGCACAGAAACAAGACCTTACAACCAAGGTTCACGGCTGACTGCTTATGAATTGGTCTATGAGAATATTCCATCCACTTTAGTAGCCGACTCCATGGTGTCTTTGCTCATGAAGACCAAGGGAGTGCATGTGGTTGTTGTTGGTGCCGATAGAGTTGTTGCTAATGGAGATACCGCGAACAAGATTGGAACATATCAGATAGCTATATCTGGTTAGTGCGAGGCATTGAAATTATATAAGTAGAAATTTTTCTTTCTTGTGTACAGTGTTTGTAACTCTTACAAAACTATGCATGGATTGAAGCATGATATATGTTAGTATAAATTAGCTTAAAAGTAGACATGGAAATTTATATTTTTGAACTTTCTAGATCTTTAATTTTTGGAATTTGTTAGAACTATTGGTACATCATGTTTTGTTATAGTATATCACATTTTTAACTTTTATTGTATTTTTTTCCTTTTTTGCATATATTTTTTTCCTTTCTTGACCTAATAATATTGTAGGAACTGTTTTTTAGTAATGATATTGTAAGAACTGATCATGGGTTTTACAAACAATGGGTTTCCACTTATCAAGATTAGAATTAGTTATCATCTATCAATTATCTCAAAAAATAATTGAATAACTTGCGTTGAAGTAGTCTCATCAATATACAGTGTATTTCTGTGTGAAAGTGTATAAAAGTGTGATCTGATTCAAACATGTTCAAACTGAACTACCAGTTTAGTCTAGATGCCATGTACAATTCAGTTTAAAGGTGCATAATGCATTTCATTTCCTGTAATATTCAAGTTACACCTGCAGAGTGGGACACCCTTTGCTCCTTTACATGTATATAGAGACACAGCTGTAAGCATTCATGTAGTGAATTGTTGTGAGCTGTGCATGATTGATCAATTTTGCTTTTTACCCAGGCAGTATTCTAAGATACACCCTTGTACATGTAATACTTGTGTTGACATGTCAGTACTTAAAGGATTCAAATGGATAGCTTGAATAGCTGTGAATTCCAGTCTTTTTTCACCAAATTAATAATTATTATGGGAAGAGGTAACCAGAAAAAACTATACACTACTTTCGTGTAAGTAATTCAGATTTATTGGAAATATTATAATAGATAAATTTAATCTTAAACTACTCAAAACTTGGCATAACATATTAATTATTTCTCTCTCTTTTTTTTCTCTTTCCAGCCAAATATCATATGGTTCCATTTTACGTTGCTGCACCCTCTACCAGCATAGATTTGTCATTAGAAAGTGGTGAGCACATTTCAATAGAGGAGAGACCTGCCCATGAGCTGACAACACTGGGCGATGTTCGTATTGCAGCTCATGGGATTGGCTGTTGGAATCCAGGATTTGATATTACCCCAGCAGAACTGATAACAGGAGGCATTATAACTGAATATGGAGTCTTTAAACCACATGAACTTAAACAGGCATTGATGGAGAGGATCTAGGGCTCATTCTTATAAAAGTGTAACTTTGTTAAGGGTTGAGTTTCTTGTAGTACATGTCTAGCCGGATTTTTGAAAACGCACCCAGTGAAATCAGCAGCCATTTGGGGGGAAAAGGCTGGCTTCTGCATCTGATAAGGCTGAAAATCATGGAAAACTAAAAAGAGAAGAGAAAGAAAGGAGGTGAGGAGAAACAGGCAATGTTTGCACTCTTATAGTTTTTAAATTGGCTACTTTGGAGATACAATCATGTAGTACGTGTACATGTACATTTGCAGCTTTCGACCAAAAAAAACTGCTTGATAGAAGAGGTCTTTTCGGGGCTAACGTTTTCAAATGTCCAGCTAGATGTACATTGAAATGTATTTTTATGCAGTCAGTATGTCGTCTATGTCGAATGTTTTTAAATGTGTGTTGTTTGGAATTCAGTATACACGTTTCCACAGTAGACTGTGAAAGTTAGGATTTTACCTAGATCCTAATTCAAGATGTAACAATGTATTCATCATGTAACTACTGGGGTAGCGTAAAATCAAGGCAATCTGGACCATTTGCAACCGGGATCACGTGATTGACTACCCAACTGGATTCACAATCAGGGCACGGTTAGATCTTGTTGTAGAGCTACAGTTTTCCTCCAACAACTTGCACCCTCATTACCTTTTCCTTCCTAAAGTCTCTGCCCAAGCAACATTGTAATATTCAGAGCGTAGCAGCACACTGTTGTTAGCCGTGCATGTTGACTGCTGACGCTCACTGAGGTTTGCACACATAGAAGTTTACCTTTGTGGGCTCTATAACAAATGACTTGAGGAAAGTATGGAAAACATGGAATTGATACCAATATTATAGATTTATTTAACTATACATTGGGGCTTGTGTCTACAGTGTGATGGGTTTCACAAGTCTAAAGTGAAATTGGTGCTGAAAAGTTTTTGGAGACAAAAGTTGTGGCTTGTTAATAACAATTTATTTATCATTGTAAAAGTTTCACAGAGGTTCAGTATATATTCATTCAGGGATAATAGGTCCTGTTATGATCTCTTGCTCATACTTTTGACTTGAGTAGTTTTGCGCGATGAGATGCAGTGAATGTCATTAAATACAGTGTCAAATCACAACATTTTAGTTTTTTTCTGTGGCTAATTTACATTAATATGCTTACATATAAAAGCTCAAGTTAACCTTATTATTAACGCTCTTAAGATTTCTGTGCTGGATTTCTTTCCAGCAATACCTCTTTACTAAATCCGGTCATTTCAGAGATTTACTGAGTTCCTAAAACTAAACATCGATTACTGGATTGCATTTAATTCACTGAATCCGTTTTTAGGGTTCAAGGTATTCGTTATCTGTTTTGCGGTGAAAACAAATGACCCCACTTTGAAATTTTTCATAGTGAAATGTAATTCACCAAACTGAGAAACAATAGAAATATGAAAGCTGTGGAAAGAAGAAAAAACACAGCGGCAACAAAGTTATCCGACGGGGTAAATATAGACTTTTATTTTTACAAATATAGTTAATGTGACGAGGTGAATTTAACATGATAATATAACTTTAATATCTGATTGTTTGCTATTTATTTCTCATACTAAGATAAGAAACGAAAAAAAATCTTAATGTGCTCTGCCTGGCGTCTAGGAAGTTTGATAGGGTATGCACTATACCAAAAGCTACAGGGCAGAAATAAAGGCTAATGATAACGAATAGAGTTCATCCAACAAATGAAGCGTTAGCATATTATTAACTATCGACGGTGTGTACTTTGCAACCTATACCATGTTGGGTCATATTGGCTTTTTGGGCGCTACGTTATTAAGAGAGTTGACACCTTGTTTGCTCAAGTGTTCTCACAGTTTTAATTTAATCGACGCGCTTATTAAATCCAACACTGTACTCATGAATTGAACGACTTTATGTATGCTGCTGTTCTTGAAATAATTATTAACCGTTGCGGCTTGACAACTCCGACTGCACTTTATGTGGTAAAGGGAAAATCTCAGCAGGAACTGAGAACAAAGAAAACAGGGCATCAAATGAGAATGACGTGGTAAGTTCAGGAACTTAAAAATGTATGAAAAAGGTCGAAAAAGACAAGATGTGACATGCAGTCAATAGATATCAGTTTTAATACAAAACAGGTTTGTAACCTTTTATTCTGTTTCATATTTCAAAATCTTAAAAAAGCCAGGACAGGGCCTTAGAAATAAAATACATATATTAAACTTTGTTAAAACGATAAAATCTCACTATTGCCGATTGCGAGGACCTTCGAGGCAGACATTGTGTGCAAATTTTACATGTACGTGTAAGTACGTGTCGCAGGTGCTTATCGTTAACAATGAATTGAAAGTGTGAAATGGAAGCAAGGAGAGAATAGACTTAGCTCCCTGGGCATCGAACGTTATGCTAGAACTTATAGGAAAAATAAAAGTAAAATTCGACAGTCGAATCGAGCCCGGGGAGTCGAGGCGAAGCTTGACCAGATCTAAGAACATTCTCACTACTGACTTTGGAAAAACACCAACTAAGGTTTACTCAGCTTTACTTGATAAAACTCTCAAAAACAAGCCTCTTTTCAGCATTACACAGATTTGAGCGCTGCTTTGAGTGCTTTTTCTTTAGCTTTTCTCGATCTTGGAATACAGATTTTATGTCAGAACAAAACAGATAGAAACTGAATTGAACCTAGTATTACGCGCGCGCATGTAGGGTTAATGTAACTGCCGGGAGATCATTCGAGCAAGAAATATTGTTCCAACGCCTTCCTTCACTGATTTTTTGCTCTACGGCATCTAGTTTTATCATGTGCGTGAAACGTTGTTTTCGCGAATAGAATTCAGTGTCCTATCGGAATATTCTTGTTATTATGACGCCTGGAAGACTACTGTAGTTTGTTAGAGATGTGTGGTCAATGTAGCTGTGGCATTATATTTTACTGACTTCACTTTGCTGGCAGGATGGGAGCTGTTGTCCAAGCCATTCGACACACTGCAGTGCAAGTTTTCAGTTATCATTTCCTGTTGCTGTTTGCCTTGAACATCCAGTCAGCGACTGTGAAATCTGCTGAAATCAGCGGCTCTGGTAAGGCTTCTCATAAACTTTCCCCTTCAACACACTCACACACTTTTACGAAACAGATATTTACAGTTTGAATACTACCTACCCACAAAAGGTTAAAACTAGTCGAGGCGGGTAGGTAAGATTAAATTAGTACAACTAGATAGATATTGATAATTGCACCGAAAAATATGAGTAAGGTTATTGTTCTAAATCCATTGAGAAAGTATGAAAAAAAGACTGTGAGCGGGTTAACTTTGGATACTGTTTCTGGTTTCATCTCGAGATTGTCAGGGGTTTGCAATGCTGTGTTTCGATAATTTCAGTTCAAGGTGCATCAGTTTTGCGGCCAATCACTGACTGCATGCTATTATAAATCTTTATTGGATTCGGCTTTCGCATGATGTTATGTAAAATTTCGCTATATGCCTTTGGCCTTAGTGGGTAACACGTACCCTCCTCAATCCTCAATCTGCATAATTATTTTATAATTGGTAATTTTTTGTTTATTTGACAGAATCTTTAGATCTCCATTTTCTGCAAGATTCCAATGGCTATGCATTAGTAACAGACGGTATTCCAGATATGATGTCATTCTCTGTTTGTTTCTGGGTTAAACTCATTTACCGGTATCCTGCGGGAAGCTGGAATACTATGGCATTGCTTTCATATTCCAACTCCAAGTACGATAAAGCTTATCTCGTGAATACTCAGGGAGGGTCCGTCAATACCTACATGGACGACAAAGATTATTCGTAAGTAAAACAAAAAAAACAAATGCGGACCGGGCGAATTTTTAAAGCAGCTCTGTCGCTCTCTTTTAGCACTGTTTGTGAAGCTTTTGTGGTGATTTTAAGGCGATGTCTTTATCGTTTGATCGTGAATTTCTACCCTTTCTGCAGCAGTAGCCGTATGGCGTTCTAGGTTTTAGGTAACTCTAGACCCCCCCCCCCCCCGGGGGTTACTTCCTTCTAAGAGGCTAATGGGGATGTGCCGCTAGATGGGGTCGCATTTTCACGACTGGATTGACTATAATGGGGTTGTCTTCTCGAAAGAGTTTCAACAGAGTTACCAGAATGGGGTCTCATCTACGCGGTTAGCAAACGTACCAGAATGTTTGTACTGTAGATGAAAAGTAACTTGTTAAGTGTTCTTCATTCAATCTAAAAAATGGGTCAATTCAGTAAAAATAGAAAGTGACTGAGTTAGGATAGCGAAAATTACATATTTGCCCAAAAGTGACTAAGATGGGGTCTATAATTGGCCACAGAATAGACGGGGCAGGGAGGCCAGCGGCAGATACCCGGCAAAAATTAGCCCAAGTACCCCCCACCCTCCCTCCCCCTACCCGGGACTCTAGCATGCTTAGGAAATCGCCGATAAATCATATAAAAATTCTGGAAAGCTTGGGTTATCAACATCCAAGAATAAAATCGAGTTGACCTCCTGGCAGTATCATGCATACACTCACTCTTACAAATAGATCGTATCAGTTTCAGTATTTCACATATCCAACTTCGAGGTGGGAAATGGCACCATGCTTGCCTCATTTGGGACCAGGAAAATACAAGAACAGGTACCTTCTTTGATGGTGTTCATAAAACGACAACAAAGCCGTTTAGACAAGGTATGAAAGCCTAAGAGCACAAGTAGCCTTAAAGCGCACGTATTTGTATAGATTTCATAACCGCTCACCAAATTAGTCCAGATTAGCAGTTCGAAATACATGATTATGTGCCGCTGAACGAAAGGGTCACATTTGAAAAATTAAGCGTTGAAAATATGTTTTGGAAACGAAGTGGTTTGGTGATCATTATCACCGCACATGTTCGTGAGAATCACTTCTTTAAATTTATTCAAATTTAAATAATCATTTAAATACAACGCATAATTGATAATTGAAGATGGGTAAAAAATTTAACTTAGGGACGTTTACACGGCCCCGTACGAATTTTCGACCGTTGTAAATTTGTGTCAGTATTCCGTTAACACGAGGCCACCCTTCCTTTGAAGTCAAAGTTTTAGCACTGTGCTGCGGAAAATTTGAACTGCGCGGTGTGAATACCTTACCGCTCTACGCAAGGGCAGATGGCATTACCACAGAAAAAAATTAAAATTCAAACTGGTTCGTCAGTTCCGTGTGAACAATGCAAACTATGAGACGTTTCTGAGTGAACGAAGTTTTCCTTAAAATAGACCAAGTTTGATACCGGTATATATCAAAATTCACTTGGCTTCGAGATTTGGGGGAATGAAACAACAAAATCATCTTGAGCCTGGGCATTGAATAATGCATTCCTTCGGTATTCCCTCAGGCCTCGCTGCCGAAGTATGAGTTTCAATATATCGAAATTGGTCTTGACAGACATTTGAAAATCTGGCATAAAATGCTTTCCAGCAGAGACTTTTTTCGCTCGGGCGATTTCGGCGCACTCGAGAAAGACTAGATGAATCGATGTCGTGCGCTTGGTGTTGATAGTTTGCCTGTTTTTTTTTTCTGATAGTGGCTTGGTTATAACCGTCGGTTTATCAGTAAATGGATGTTCGCTCTAAAACGAGACGAGAGAAAAAAGTATGACGAGTCCAGAAGTACGGGCTGCGGCGACTTCAAAGGATTGAACGAGCGATTCAGATAGAGCCTTCTTTTCTCTAGGAGGTTCAACGAGCTTAGCATTAGTGAAGGCTACTGAATCTGGTCAGCCATGATGGTTGTCTTTTTATTTCAATCAGAAAAAATTCTCAAAGGAGGCGGTACAATGGTCATAGGTGCCAGGATGCAACCAGATGGAACACTCACTGATCACATGAACGGAAGCTTGAGTAACCTGAATGTGTGGAACAAATACCTCACGGCTGATGAAGTGCAAAATGTCTACCGCTCGTGTAACTTAGCAAAAGGAAATGTGTTTTATTGGTGTAGTCACGTGATTAACCTCATGACGAGGATTAACGTCAGTATGGTGTCCCCATCAACGGCTTGTAGCGCTTCATGTAAGTGTCATCCAAAAATTTCTTTGTAGTAAGACAGGAAGTTAAAACAAGAATGAAATTAGTACAATGCCCTACAAGACACTCAACAAATGTTTAAAATGTTTTCGTTTCAATCACCTAAATCTTCTTGAAAAATTTCTATAACGTTTTTTTCTGTTTGATTTGCATAAAATATCATATTCCTTCTGGGCACCAGCTCGCCCTCCTAGCCGCGGAGCCTGCTTTTTCTTTCGAGGGGGGGTTGCTTGTTTTGGTGCAATGTACTAAAAAAAAAAAACCTTTGCATGAATCGAGTACAATCTATTTTGAGCATGCAATGCATATTTCTAGGATTCGGTTTCGAACCCAGGCCTTAAAGCCTTCTCTCACTCAACTGAACTAGTAGTCCAGAGGTTCGGGGCCGCAACGACTTAAAAAGCTTCCATATCAGTGACGCGATTCAGGTATGAGAGCCTACTTTCCTCTTCCTGGATCACGAAGAATACAAAAAGATGCTCTGTTCGTAGGATTATTCCCTCTGTGTTATTTAGTCTCTCTGTAAAACATATCAAATCTGTTATTTTATTTCCAAGAGACCGCTCACAAGGATATATCAGGGGCACCCAACGAGGATATAGTTCAATACCACTTAACATAGCATTGTTGAACGTATTTTAGTATTTAAACGGTAGATATAGGCATATTTTTTTCCCCTAAAAACTTTTCATCTTTTCCGATTTTCTAGCTGAAAGTCTAGTGATCCGAAAATTATAGGGATCAAAACTTACCTTTTCAAAAATTTCAGCTTCCCGAAAATTCTAGGTGGCCTTTTTTAGGGTAAATATCAGTTTAAAATGGGTAATTATACCATTTTGTAGACGTTCGAAAATCCTAGGAGAGGCAGGCAAGCAAGAAATTTTACAGCAAATGTTCCGAAAATTCTAGTTCTCAAATCGTCCTCCGAACAGATATTTTCCCGAAAATTGCCGTTGGGTGCCCCTGATTTTTTGTTTCGTCTTTAACGTTGCTATCAGATCCCTGGCTTTATCTTCATTCTTGAGCCTGATACTCAAAATACTAGTCAAGAAATTTTTGCCGTTTGGACAGCTAGCTGGTCAGGGCAACTTACTGAACTTGTAATTTAAGTGATTATCATCAACCTGCCGTTCAACAGTTTTTGGAGTATTTATATGGGGTACAGTAATGACATCAAGTAGTTTGTATATCGATTACGCTCTAAGTGGCAGATAACCTGGGACGCAGTTACCACCCTGGCTGCAGTTCAAACACGAGCAGCCAGTGGAAGCCGTTGACACGGAAGTTAAAAACCGTGATTGAACAAATTTCTTTCTTTATTCATTGATATTTTTTAGCTTTTTTTTCATTATTATTAACTGAATATTACTCTGTATTTTAGATGCCGATGGGATGTTTACAAGTCTTGAACACTACAAGCTAATGGGACACCACATATCTGTTTATGAAGTGATGGACGCGTTAGTCTGTGCGTCACACTGCCTTCGGACCTGTCGCTGCCAATCGTTTAATTTAAAAAGGCGACCGAATGGTCGAAACCTTTGTCATCTTAACAGCGGCAGTAGAAATGACTTTCCTGATGACTTCGTTTTTACAAATCGGGAGAGATACACTTACTACGAAAGAGTGTAACAGCTTGTTATAGATAGACACAGAGCATTTTGCCTTTGCATACATTTCAAGACCAAAACATTTTCGAAACAAACAAAGGTGCGAAATCAAACATTTATTCATCGCGACTTATTAAGCTATTAACCAGGGCAGCCTTTTAAACTGCCTCATTATTTTTAACTATGCAGAAAATGATAGTGTATAAGTTGGTCATGGAGAGATGTGTACACCTAAATGCAATAACAGATCCCATAACATTGTCATACAAAAGAGCAAAAACAGAAATTTTAAAAAAGCCAAATAGGAGGTAATTAACCATGCAAATTACATTTTGATATTTTTGAAAATAATGTAAACTCTTCTAAAATGTGGCACTTCAATTCGGCACCAACTGAGTTTTGACTTTTCCTTTTCATCCTTTGCCAGACCATTATAGTTAATAAAGTTTGAAGGTGCGCAACGTTCAATAGCATTTGCTTTGATCTTTCTGACAAAGAAAACGTCGGATTAATAATTTATTCAGTAACGAATTGTGAACAAAAACATGACAAAGCATTGGGGCGAGGCACCAGTACAATTGTTTTTGGCTTTGATACTTGGGGCTGGATTTCATAACCAGTCAGTCCAGCACAAAGTCTGATTTCGTGGGCGTGCCAAATTCTGTCTCTTTGTTTTTCTTATTTTTCTTTGACGTTATTGCAATTACGGGTATCATAAGACCAACTATATGGAGTCAGACAGCGATCAACGCATCAGCCGTTCCTCGAGCAACTCCCATACTAGGCCTATGTCAGGGCGTTTTTACGGACCAGTTTACTTTTAGACACATTTAAGGGCCAACTTTTTCCCGCGGAAAGAGAATCTCCACCATGTCTATGAACGAATTCGAAGTATAAGATATCAAAAAGGAAAACTAAACGTTATTAAAAGGCAAAAAATATCATTTTTAGGTCTGTAGGTTTTGCTGACTGGTTTGCGGAATTTTGCTTACTTGTTGTACATAAAACACGCAAGTAGTGGCTGTCTAGAATAACAGAAGCAGACAAGCAAGAAATAAAATGTCAATTTATTCCTAACGCGTGACTTGGTTGAAATATGATTATTCTTTAAAAAGTCATATAATTTCAAAATCATATGACAACTCTTTTTTTAGGTACGCCGTTACTATCTTATGACGGTACACGTCCGTTTGTCTTCTCTAAAACTGGATTTCCACTGTCGCGTAATTTTTACGTGTGCGCGTGCATAAATTTACGTGCGTAAATAAAATAGGGGCAATGTATGAAAGGTCGCGCGTAAACGTAAAATTACAACCTCGACCAACTTTTAAGTTTTAGGGGTTTATGCGCTACAATTATTTCGCGCGTTAAATTTCCCTGCGTATGCACGTAAAAATTACGCGACCATGGATATCCACCTTAAGTTATAAAGATCATCATTATCAATTTCTTATGGATAAGCAGCACTATCGAGATTACACGAGACAACAACAACTCAGTGAACCTAGGCGTCAAGTTTGTCAGATGAGGTATGAGACTGTCTCCTCGGTAAGCCTCTCAATGTACATTCATACCCTCCTCTCAATACCTAATTATTAGACTCTCCTAATAACGCCTTTTTGGCCAACCGTGAGGGAATATCGACGGACTTGTAAAGTGATGCTAGTTACATTCTAGTTCAACAAAACCAGCATTACTTTATCCTACAAGTGCTTATTTGATTTTGTACTTCTTTAGCTTGTCTACTGCCTTAGATGTATAAAAACGCTTCCTATCATTTACCACATGCTATCTAGAGGCACTTTTTTCCCCAGTGTCAGACATCACTTTTTCCAGAAGTTTGGATCGTGCGCCATTTTCCTCTGATAGTTCTCATACCACCTTTGTACCACGCTAAGTGGAACGAAACTCTCCGAAGGATTTGGTGTCATTTCTGCTTGGGTTCTTGCAAAGGAAGACGCGAAATTGAAGAAATTCTCCAGCATTTTCTGTGTATATTCAACAAAAGTGTTCAAATTTGACGGCGTCGAATTGCACGCGGGTGTCTGCTGAGCAAGCTGGTCTAAGGGCTCAATTGATATACCTATTTGAGCCCCTGTGTGTGTGGTCCCACTGGCATCCATTAAAAAAGGGTTCTGCACTCTTTCCTCTGGTCTCACCTACAAAAGGAGAAGCATTCATTTTTATTTCCTATCCAAAGTATCCCAAACGTGAGGCATGAGGACATGTGTGGACACAAAACACATGCATGTGCTTTGGTTTGGACAAAGACAAAACCAAACGAAACCAAAAGAGGAAATATATGTGGAACATAAAGGCCAACTGCGGAGAAGCAAGGCTGAATCACAGCGTCAGAGGTACATCTCATTGTATATCCATATTTCTGTCCCCCAACAGAAGTGCAGTGTAATTTCTATGAGCTTTTTTGGCCCTTTAAGTAACTTTTAATCAAATGCTCTAGCCACCTTGGCTTCTGTCAAACACTGTAAAAAGCAGAGAGTTCACATGAAATGCAACATATACCTTGGCCAGTTTAAATATGGCACTAGGCTTGTTATTAGCAATAAATCCCAAAAGTTGTGAAGTAGGTCCCTCAGGGGTTGGATAACAGTAGTAGACTGCCCCGCCCATTCCATCAGGGAATGGTGTCACACCTGTTAGGAACACTACCACGTGATGAATGTTTTCAACATCAAGCAAGTTGAAAACGAACTGAGTTGGACCAATCTGCTGGACATCCGTTTGTACCTGAAAGAAAGTGCCCATAACAAAAAATAAACACGGTTGAATGGCCAACACCTGGGTACCCGCAAGTGGCAGGTTAATGTAGTTAGCCACTCAGAAGAAGTTCATCATACATTAGCATAATCTAAAGAAAACATGCAATGGGAGCAGCATTACTAGACCACAACCAATCATCTTATTCTATCTCTATCCTAGTCATCACCTTCTTTCCTTCATCATACTGTCAATATTAAGCCAATCTAAGTATATCAAGACTTAATAGAGGTAGCAACTATAAGAGAAATCTTGTTAAGATGAACAAATGTTGGCCAACATGGAGGGGGAGGCGATAGAGGTGGACACTTAATAGTGAAGAGGTTTAAATCATAACTTTTTTGTACATTATATTATTTCAGGACTTTAATTAGTGGCTGCTTAACCCATTTAATACATGTAGGTGGCCATTGAGTTG